GCCCTTTGATATGTTACTAGGCATGTACTACCTCGAGGTCACTCAGTCTTAGTTTGATTGGGATAGGAAGGTGTTGATACACTCAACGATAGGACCGTTAGACTGCAAGAGTTTAAAGCTAGCAGTCTAGTGGAAAACTACGGCTGCATGTGTGCCTCCTCTTTCTATAACTACTATAAGCAGAATCGTGAGGAGGGCATGTATCTAGTCTTTGTCTCTAGAAAAGGGGAGGCCGTAAAAACACCCCCAGAGATAGAATCAGTCGTCGCGCAATATTCCGACCTTTTTGAGGAGCCCACAGGCGTGGTGGAAAGGGAGGTTGTCCATGCAATAGAGGTTGTCCCAGGTAGTTAGGTGCCTAGAGGACGAATATATAGGATGTCTCTTGCGGAGTTGGACGAGCTCCGCCGCCAGCTCAAGGAGCTCACAGAATAGGGATTGATTCGGCCTAGTACCTCCCCTTATGGTGCGCCAGTTTTTTTTCTCCCTAAGAAGGGAGGTACACTGAGGATGTGCATTGACTATAGGGGCCTCAAAGCCATCACCGTTAAGAACGAGGAGCCCCTACCCCCCATCGACGACCTATTGGATAGAGTGCAGGGATGCCGGTACTTCACAAAGATTGATATGAAGTTCAGATACCATCAAATTGCCATTAGACTTGAGGACCAGCACAAAACTGCCTTTCAGGTACGGTCTGTACGAGTTTGTGGTGATGCCCTTTGGCCTATGCAATGCACCTACAACATTCCAGTACGCAATGAACAGGATTTTTCATGAGTACTCAGACAAGTTTATCGTCGTGTACCTCAACGATATTCTTATCTTTAGCAAGGTTGTAGAGGAGCACGCTGAGCACTTAAAAATAGTTCTAGGTCTCCTAAGATAGCACCAGTACAAGGTAAACTTGGAAAAATGCGAGTTCGATCGCACCAAAATCTTGTACTTGGGTCATGAAATCTCCGCAGATGGGTTGAGGCCGGACGATGCCAAAGTGGCCAGCATATGGGACTGGCCCAGACCTCAGACTGTTACTAAGGTCCGATCAGTTTTGGGGATGACGGGCTGCTATCGTCTGTTTGTTAAAAACTATAGTACTATAGCTTCCCCATTAATTGATCTAGCTCGACTTGACACGCCTTGGGAGTGGACTGAAGAGTGTGAAGCAAGCTTCAGGAAACTGAAGTATGCTCTAACATACTACGAAGTTCTTAAACTTTCGGATCCTTATAAGCCATTTGTCGTGACCACAGACGCCAGCCAATATGGCATAGGCGCGGTCCTTGCGCAAAAGGAGAGGCCAAAGTTGAGACCTATCGAGTACATGAGTAAGAAGATGTCACAAAAGCTAGCAAAGTCCACATATGAGCGTGAGCTCTATGCCCTCTACAAAGCGCTGGTCCAGTGGAGACACTACCTCTTAGGTGAATTTTTCTACTTGAGATCTGATCATGAGACCTTGCGCTGGATCAAGAGACAGCCTGTACTCTCTGACGCACTCAAGCACTGGATTCAAGTGATAGACATGTATGACTATCAACTTGATCCAATTAAGGGAGAGTACAACAAAGTGGCTGATACACTATCTCGTCAAGCAGATTATCTGGGCGCGATAGTCACCAAGTTTGGCATATCTAACGATCTAACTCGATCATTGGTGGAAGCCTATCAGCAAGATCCAGTTATGTCTGAGATCATCCATAAATTCCAAGCGAAGGACAAAGTGACTTCGGATGAATTTACGATGGTAGACGACTTGCTGTTTCTTGAGAAGGCAGGGAATAAAAGGTTGTGTGTTCCTAATAGAGAGTCTTTGCATAGTTTATTTTTAGGTGAGTGTCATGATGGAACTGGCCATTTCGGTTATAGGAAAACGTCAGCTAACTTGGTACAGAAATTCTGGTGGCCTTCTATGATGGAAGATGCCAAGAAGTATGTCGAAACCTGCCAGGTTTGTCAATGGGACAAACCCAGGACTCAAGCTCCGCTTGGGCTCATCAAGCCCTTGCCGATTCCTGAAGGTCCTGGTCAGAGTGTGTCCATGGACTTCATGGATACTCTTGTGACCAGCAGGTATGGGAAAAGGCACATCTTTGTTATAGTAGACCACTTTTCTAAGCATACAAGACTAGTCGCTATGCCTGAAACTGCATGTCTTGTATACTTAGAAACAGGCATAACACTTAGAAACTGCATGTCTTGTATACTTAGAGAAGGCACATCTTTGTTATAGTAGACCGCTTTTCATGGATGTTCGCTTTACTAGCGAACTGTGGCAGAACACTGCCCAACAGATGGGAACCAGACTGCAAATGACATCAGGGAATCACCCTGAGTCCAATGGACAGGCGGAACAGATGAACAGAGTAGTGCAGCATTTACTAAGGCACTACATCAAGCCAAGCCAGGATGATTCGGACGAGAAACTGCCCCTCGTCGCCAGCCTGTACAATAACACTGTACATAGCGCTACCAGCATGACTCCCAACCTGAGAAACAGGCCACTGCAGCACCCAGTAGCGTAGAATTTGCTGTCAAATACGAACAGATGTTGCAGCAGGTGGTTGAGCACATGAGGAAATCTCAAGATGCTATGATTGCATCTGAGAACAAACACAGACGGCCTTCTAACTTTCAGGTAGGGGACAGGGT